CCCCCCTCCTCTCCCTCCCTTCCTCCTCCAGCATACTGTTTCCCAGGCCCTCGTCTAGATGGTATGGGCACAACAGTGACCACAAAGACAAAGTCCCTGCCTCTCAGAGCTTACTGGCTACTGAGGGAAGATGGCCCAGTAGACAAAACAAAACACATATTTATAAAATAATATAATAAGAAATATGAAGAAAACTAAAGCAGGGTACGGTGAGGAAATGAAGGGAGGCTATTTTAGAGACAGTAAGTCAGGGACAGTTTCTTTGAACAAAGCCAGTGAGGTGGTCTTGCGGCTCCTGGAGCAGAGTTTTCTGGGAAGCAGAACAGCACGTGCAAAGGCCCTGAGGTGAAACCACATTCAAATCCCACCTGTTTGGCAGGCCAACGACCCAACTCCTTTTCCCAGTTCAGGCAATGAGCCTGGTGCTGGGGGTGGGGAAGGGGGAGGGCACAGATGAAAAGGGAACCACATAGCTCACCGCCCAGCGGTGATGGTGAACAGGGGTGGGTGAGACCTCCCTCCTCTGACAGCACCTCTCTCTCTCTCTTTTAAATCACTTACTTTATTTATTTATTTAATATATTTTATTGATTTTACAGAGAGGGAGAGGGATAGTTAGAAACATGGATCCAGCTGCCTCTTGCACGCCCCCTGCTGGGGATCGAGGCGGCAGCCAAGGTACATGCCCTTGACCAGAATCCAACCAGGGACCCTTCAGTCCACAGGCCGATGCTCTATCCACAGAGCCAAACCGGTTAGGGCTGACAGCACCTCTTGTTGCTGGATTTGAATCCTGATCCTGCCACTTTCTAGCTTTGGGACCTTGGGACTTTCATCCCTCTGAGCCCAAGAGGTCAAGCTGAAGGACAAATTGGTACCCAGAGTGGGGTAACGAGGCAGGGAAAAGGAGCCGATGCCAGCGTGGAGCCCTTTCCTGTGAACTATGAGAAATAATGGTAACTCTCTCATGCGGCCGGCTCTAGAGATTCGCTGAAATTCCTTCTACTCCCTAAGTGTCTCTTGTCTGTCTTCCCATCCTCAGGCCCCTACTCCGACTCCTCTTCTCCCACCCGAGGCCCTCCATCCACCTCCTTGAAGCTCTCCCAGCCTCTAATTTCACTGGCTCCGATTCTATCTCTGTGCAGCACTTAGAGGGATCTTTCTAAAATAGAAATCTGGCCCTGGCCGGTTTGGCTCAGTGGATAGAGCATCAGCCTGAGGACTGAAAGGTCCCAGGTTCAATTCCGATTAAGGGCACATGCCCGGGTTGCGGGCTCGATCCCCAGTAGGGGGCGTGCAGGAGGCAGCCGATCAATGATTCGCTCTCATTATTGGTGTTTCTATCTCTCTCCACCTCTCCCTTCTGCTCTGAAATCAATAAAGATATATTTTAAAAAATAAGATAGAAATCTGATTCTCCCTCTCTAACACAACCTCTCTTTTGCTTAAAATCTTCCCATGGCTCACCAGTGGCCTGGAACTAAACCCTCTCCCTTGGCCCTAATTCTCTGCCCCTGCTGGCCCCTCTAGCCTATTTTCTCTCACCTTCTCCCATTGTACTCTGCACCTAACCAGGAGAAATGCCTTTATTTCCCAAAATGCTCAACACAACCTCTCTTTTGCTTAAAATCTTCCCATGGCTCACCAGTGGCCTGGAACAAAACCCTCTCCCTTGGCCCTAATTCTCCGCCCCTACTGGCCCCTCTCTCTCTGCACCTAACCAGGAGAAATGTCTTTATTTCCCAAAATGCTCTGTGTTTTTAAAAATATATCTTTATTGATTTCAGAGAGGAAGGGAGAGGGAGAGATTGAAACATCAATGATGACAGAGGATCATGGAGCAGCTGCCTCCTGCACGCCCCCCACTGGGGATCGAGCCCACAACCCAGGCATGTGCCCTGACCGGAATCGAACCCGGGACCCTTCAGTCTGCAGGCCGACACTCTACCCACTGAGCCACACCGGCCAGGGCCAAAATGCTCTGTTTTACCTCACCTCTAAGTCATTGGATATTCTGTTCCCTCAGTTATCTACTAGTATATTTCTAGTCTTTGCTGGCCCCATCCATTCTCCAGACCTTTTGATTGGCTTAAGTCCTTCAGGTTTCAGCTCAGAGGTTTTCTTCTGGAAACCCTAGCTTCCCCCCAGGTCGGGTCAGGCCCGCACCCTCCCCGGGCCTGCACAGACCCCTCGGCTGCCCCATCCCAGCCCTGAGCGTTCTGAGTCTCCGTCTGTACTGTGAACCCCACAAAGGCAGGGCTAAGGCGGCCCTGGTCACCTCTGTATCCCAGCATCACCTGCACGGACCGGGCACAAGGCAGGCAGCTCTTCTCACCTGACTGAGGCCCAGGTGTTTGCTGACGTTCTCCGACAGGTAAGCCATGTCTCCCTCGGCCGTGAGCACCATGACGAAACCCTCCAGGGCCTTCAGGTAGCAGGCATCCAGTGGCTCCAACCCTGTTCCCACCTGGCTCCACTCCCCTGGCATCCAGGCCGGCGTGGGTGGGGCAACTCCAGTCAGCCATGGGCCCCCCTGGCCAGCTCCCCTCTGCCTTCCCTCACTCAGAGGAGATTATAGCCCCACCCCCAGGCGAGGGGGACACACTCCAGTGGCTTGGAATCCCAAGGAAGAGGACAGGGCCACCAAGGATCGGAATTCTCAGGGAGCAGGGCCTCTCAGGGGGACAGATTCTAAGGCGGCGGGGTCTCCCCAGGGACTAGAACTCTTAGGGGGGACAGAATTCTAAGGGGATGATATTCCAAGGGGTCAAAACGCTAAGGGGCCAGGGCTTAGGGGGAGTCAGAATTTTAAGGGGGCCCGGATTCTTGGGGCAGGGCCTTCCCGATGGGCAGAATTCGAAAGGAGCAGAGAGGCCCAGGCGACAGCACTCTAAGGGGGCAGAGCCTCCCAGAGAAGCAAAGCTCTTCTGGGCACAGAAATGTGATGGGCAGAGCCTGGGGGGATGACTCCGCTTTCCACATAACACAGTCTTGTCAAGGGCTCTGGGATTCCAGGGTGTGTGTGTGTGTGTGTGTGTGTGTGTGCCCCCTGCAGAGGGAATTCTAATGGGACAAGAACTAGAACTAGGGAGCTGGGAGGGGGAGGGGGACTTTCTCAAATAATTAAAAACTGGGCAAGAAGCCTCCCGGGATATTTATTATCAGGGGCCCAGGCCTAGCGGGGAAGGTCCCCCAGAGGATCAAATCCTAAGGGCTGAGGAGCTTAGGGAATTAGCCCGCCTCCTATTCCGCAGATTTCCAAGGAGGCAAAGCGTCCCAAGGGTGCGTTCCAAGGGGCGGGGCCTCACTGGTGATTGACATCTCAGGGAGCGAGCGCCAGGGCCCGCGGGGCCTCACCTGGGAAGTGAATCCTGGGGGTGGGGGATGGCTG